TCCTGCATGACCTTAGATACCTAAACTATGGGATTTATGGTCTATACTATAGTTGGGTCATGCAGAATTTTGTCCATCAACAGTAGGGGTTTGAGAGGGTATGGTGGGTGTTTAGGGTATAGGGTTTAGGGTATATCGGGGCCTTAAGGGTTCAGGGTGCATGTTTATTCAGGCGTTCGGAACTTTAGGGTTCGAGGATTGGGGTTTAGGTACCCTGTGCAGCTTCTTGGTAGGCACTTCGGGTCTATGTGCTTAAACCCAAAAACTCTGAAGGTTCACTTTGATGGCGCCGGCGAAGGCAACCATCCCAGAGGCAGACGAACCTATGCAGCAATGATGTGAGATGTTTTGAGTAGGGCGTTGCACGGTTCAATTCTCTAGAAGGCTTTTGTTGGGAGTTGTCCAGGGCTTGTTCGATGGTATGTGAGGTGTAAGCAGATATCAACTTCCAAATCCCTTGCCTCCAAGATGTTCCATGGCGTGGAAGCGGGCTCCTTGAGAGGGATTCCCAAATCAAGGCCTATTGGAGTCTGTGCAGGGGCTTCGGGAATTCCGTTTTGTCGGTGTCGGCTCTTGAACGCTTTTGGACCATGGAGTAGGTTTAGGGCCGTAGGGTCTGGTTTAGTTTGGTGGGCTAACATGCCAATGAATGCTGAGGGTTTTGTATGTGTCGGGTTGGTCTGTGGGCCGGGGAATATTGGGGACCGGCATGTGGGAGTGTTGCCAGCAGCTCCAGAATCTCAACTACGAAGTGTTAACCTATGCCACTGTCGAATGTCAATGCCGCAGTCTGCATGAGTTTTAGGGTAAGCCGCACGTCAGTACCCACGAATCCCAAACCCTGTTTAAGAATGCCCAAGCCCCACAAGCCCAAGCCACCGAGGATGCTGCTAGAGACTTGGCACAGTCGCTGACGAGCACGACCCCAGCGAGCGATCCGACCCTGAAGAACTTGTTTTTCTTCGCGGTCCTCTGTGGGAGTCCGATGGTTTCGCGGTTGTTTGAGGGTTTTGGTTCTTGGGGTTAAGGGGTTCAATGTTGACCCTGATTAATTCGACCATCACTGTCTTGCAGGGTCTTAGTGCTGAGACAGATTCATGCGTCTAGGGCTGGACCTTGCTATCTAATTTGCATATAAACCCTGAACCCTAAACCCTAAACCCTAAACCCTAAACCCTAAACCCTAAACCCTAAACCCAAACCCTAAACCCTAAAAACCTTCCCGGAAGTTTTATGCACTGTCGAGGAAAGCCTTGTCCTCCTTCGGTCGCATAGAGTCTCCATTGGCATGAAGTGGTTTAGAAGCTGTTAAAATGTTTAGGATTTAGGGGTTAGGGGTTAGGGTCTTTGTCAGCTGTTTATGTCAAAAGCCTTACAAATCCCTGCAAATCCCATGAAACCCTTTGACCCACCCGGCTGTCCAAGGCATGTCCGAGCGGCTCCGGGCCAATCTCGCCGCAGCGGAACTCTCTGCTTGGGCCCTCAGAAACCTCCAGGGACATAGAGGGGGTGTATCATCCCAAGGGTTCTCGACAGGGGTTTCAGACAGGTTTTATAGGGGCTTTGGAGTGGTTTTAGCAGATTTTCTCGGGGCGTTGTAGGGGTTTAGTTGGGCTTGGAGCTTCGGGTTGAAGATTTGTAACTTTTCGGGGATTTCAGGCGGTTGGAGGTTGAGGGCAGCACCAAGCGGCTGCTTGGTTGAAAGGTTTGGGGATGTAGGAGCTTCGCTGAGGGAATTGAGTCTTGGAGTGTGTTTTGGGTTCCGGGAGAGAGCTTCGAGCGTCTGAGGATGTGAAATTTAAGGTCTACGGCTTTTTTTGGCATTGAGTAACGAGGACGTTGTCTTGGCTCCCCAATTCGGGAGGTCATGCTCAACTACGCGAGCCGAGTCTTGCAGTTCAGGGTTCCATTGCATTCCAGGGTTCAGGATTTGATCTACAGTAGGGTGCAGAGCTTGGGGCGTCGGGTTCACGGTTCTGGTTCAGGGTCCAGTTCGAGCTTTCGGGTTGAAGTCAATGCCACCAGCAGGCGCTCCAACTCCAAAGCCTCCATTTCAAAACACCAAACCCCAAGACAGCCTGAAGCGGTACAGTTCCGCCTCTTCAAGCCCTACTGCTGAAACGGTACAGTTCCGTCTCTTCAAGCCCTACTTCCACGGCTCGACAGAAGGTCTGGGATGCCAGCGAGGTGAAGCGCATGATGTGCAAAGCGGCGGTGACAGGATGGGAGCAGGCCTGCCTGCTTGAGAGTTGTCTTTTTCACGGTCAAGGCCCGTGCCCCTACAAAGCCGTATCAAAGCCAATGTTAAGAATGTTTCTTTCAGACTATAGATGACACTATTTGGGAGTTTCCGACAATAAGGGGTACCTTATTCTGGGGTCCTTCTAATAAGGATCCTACTATTTAGGGTGCTATAGTAGGGTCCCCTATTTTCAGAAACCCCCATATATGAGCCGAGCCGCCTCAGCCTTCCTTCGTTCCTGATGCGAGGTGCATCTTATGGTGACAACCGAAAGCTTATCCAAAGTGCCGGCCCCAAAAAACACACTGGATAATTGTCTAGCGTCGCGAATCGCATAACGACTATTGCATCATCCCAGCACCGTGTTCTAAGCATCGTGGAGGAGGTGCTTCTGCAGCAACTGAAACTACGTGCAGAAGTCACAGTCCGGCATTTGCCAACCGAGGGACTTGCCCTGAGGCGGGGAACTAAGAGGTGGAGGATCTGCTAGCTGCTCAGGCCACCAGGCACTAAAGCCATTGCCGCCAGAGGTGCAAGCTGTCCTTGTCCACGAGGTTGAACAAACGTGTAGAAAAGTTCGTCGACGTCTCCACAGAATCCCAAACCAGGCAAACACACAAGCGCACGTTCCGCACGCGCTTGCTGTCAAGAAGTTCGTGGCGCTCTCCAGGGAGGTTCGAGCCCATGGCCAGCTTGGAGAACTTTCACCTGCATTCAAGTTGGACGAGACCGCAGCACGCAAACTTCACCCCAACCGTCAACCCCTGGACGGCAAACCCGTACAACCCAAAACGTATATGACAAGCCCGAAAACCGAAACCCTTACCGTCTGAGCCTTCAGCGGCTTCGCGAGGAAGGTGGCGCCTTCGACCAGCGAGTCACAGGCCGGGGGTGTAGTAGGCTCCACAAATTGGCGAATAGACTCAACATGGGAGTTTCCAGAAATCCGGGGTGTCCTTATTGTAATGGTCCTACTATTTAGGGTACTATATTAGGGTCTCCTATTTTCTGAAACTCCCACATACCCCCACGCCTAGCTTGTTCCTAGGCCTCGACATTGGGTCTTGGCATTCAAAGTGTAGCATGCAGTATCCTGACTTCGCAAGATAGCGCTGACGAGCAAGGCACACGCACGGTCCGTCATAAGCCAGGTATATCGAGTTGCCCACAGCTCAAGGTACTATGGTGCCGTAGCACCGAAGCCTAAACCCCGGAGACCCCAACCCCGAAGCCCGATGGCTCTGACCGTATCTTGTTAGGGGTTTCGGCTCGGCTCATCGGCTTCATCCATAGGCCGTCTCTAAACTAAAAAACCCGACAGAACCCCGTACCCCCAAAGCCGTGACAGTGACTTCAGTCAGTGCTTCTGAGGAGAGCTGCGCCTGTCAGTTGCGAGCCCACGGCAGTTCTCTCAGGACTTTCTGTTTTTTCGGTTTCAGGTTTTGGGATGAGGTTGCCAGGTTGAGGGTTGAGGGATCCTGCGTCCCTGATTTCTCAGCCGTAAACCCCCTGTACTGTAAGAGCTTCAGAGACCTAAGCCAACTGCCGCAGCGAGACCAAGTCGGGCATATTTGCAGATTCTTCGCAGGATTGTGGATAACTTGTCTTCGGGCTCTTACCTCTAAGCCTTCTTTGCAATCTGCGTTTTGCCCGCTTGCCAGACTGCGAGGCCCCTTGTTCCGAAAGCCCTGTGAAGAACCTGTAATCCCAGGAAGCCTGTAAGCCCTTCAAGGAATCTGTGTAATGTATGGGCCTAAATCATAATTTCCTAGTTCTTTTGTTGGGGGGGGTCCTTATTATAATGCATAAAATACTCAAAATGATTGCCTTACTATTTTGGAGGTTCCTGATTATAACGCATTCCCAAGATAATTACCTTACTATTTTGGAGGTTCCTTGTTATAATCAGAGTATAATATGCCCCAAAGCCCTATTCTAACTACTAAGGCCCTCACATTAAACAGGAAGCCTTCTGGGACGCCCTGTAAAGACCTCGCCGCCGGAGCCTTTCGAATGCTTTCAGCTGCCCAGGAAGCACCCGAAACCCAAGCCCTTGCTGAGAGGTTCAGGGTTTTGGGTTGCGGATGACGTGGTCACCAGGGAGCCCTGCAAATCAGCATCGGAAAAAGTGTCGTTCCGACCGAATCCGATAGAACAACTGAAAATTGGTGTAGCCTGGTCAAGACGAGTCGCAGCGCCCAAAATCCGTGTCTGCTTCCTTTTGGCGAGGACCCCCATGCGGAGATCGGCACGAGGCCGCACTCAAATTTCAACCCTGAGCCTGACTGTGCCCCGAAACCAACAAATATAGGGGTCTTTGTAATTACCCATACGATTTTTGGGGTTCCTTATTATGATCATAGTAGTATACCCCGAAGCCCCTACATTATTCATGCCCGGAAACCCTATGTAAGTGTAGGGAGGTTCAGGATTTTGAAGATGCAGCCTTTGACAGTTTCGGATGTGGCTTCAGGGTTTTGGGGTCTATGGTTTGGGGGTTTCGGGCTAAAAGCAAAGAAGGGTTTAGCGATGCACAAGCTTTGGATGTAAGAGTTTAGGGTTCCAGACCAGAAAGGAAGTGAGCAGGCTGGCAGACATCGGATTTAAGCGGTTTAGAGTTGACCGATTTAGTGTGGAAGTTGAAAGGTTTCAGCACAGCTTGTCTTGAGTAGAACATACACCACGTAAGCAGCCCTTTTCTATGAGGTCTGCTTCTCGGTACCCTAAACCCTAAACCCTAAACCCTAAACCCTAAACCGTGCAAACACAAGCCTAGTGGCTTGGACCTGAAAGGCGAGGCAAAGAGGTTCGACAACGGAACCTCTCGTGGCACTCGTGGGGCCTGCTCCAGGGGCAGACCACCTGCGGTTTTTGCGAAACATAAAACCCCTCTTCTGAAACTCAGAATACCCAAAGTAAAGGCGTAGTCCCACCTGAAGCTACCAAGACCGACGTGTTCTTGTTTTGGAGGTCGCAGTAACCTCAGCACAGGCCTTCATACAGGCTTTAAGAGGTCTTTCGCTCTCGGGCAAAAGATCTCTGCCCTCTCAATTTGGGATCCGACCCGAGCGTTTAAGGTTCAGGGGTTCGGGCTCCAGCGGTTTAAGGTTTCGTGCAAGGTCAGGGCTTCGGAAGTTACGGCTTTGGGTTTCATCTGGATCGTCTGATGACCCATGGAACTTGGAGGGGCAGATGCCTTTTTGGAAAGACATCCTGAGTCCTGATCTTCTTGTCTTGACGTTCCGACAACAGTGGCTTCAGGGCCTGCGAAGCTTTCAACACTGACACACGAGTATAAGTCCCTCCTATGGGTTGTAACTACAGTTGCCTTGCTTATCACCCCACCTCTGACTACCCATGAATCTCCAAGTAGCACTTTAACCCAAACCCCAGCCCCTCTCGCAGGCAAGCTTTGGCTGAGATTGCAGACGTCCCGGAGGATTCGCAACTGTAAGAGTCTCGTTTAAGAAGCTCCCAAACGCTTCCTAGTTTCTGAAGTTTAGGGGGGGCCTTTAGGGCTTTAGGGTTTGAAGCTTTCGGGCTCCGCTCTTCGCGAAGTTGGCACTGCGAGCACTCTGCAGATTCTCTGGGGGGGAACATAGGAGGCAGTGACAGGCATGCTTTGGGTCTGAGTTTAGCGGTGTTATACATCCTCAAGCACCCACGGCCTCCTCTCCTGAAGCCCTATAAACCCTGAATCTCTGCTCGTTTGCAGGACCGGGTTCGCGTCTCCTTGATGCCCAGCATCTATGCTGCAAGAATTTGTAGGTGGGGTTATCTTCAGCATGGGGCTTGGCCTTGGGGCTGGAATACGATGGGGGTTCTTATACGGTTCTCAGAGCGTTTTTTTCAGGGTTCTTATCGCATGCTCATAAGACCCTTTAGGGCAGGTTTTAGCTTTGGTGCCTAGCCGGCAACCCTGGAAACGTCAGGGAAAGCAGGAAGGAAGCTTGAGCTTTCGATTACCCTGTTGGGTACAGAGTTCTTCTTTACCTTCGGGGGTTGGTATACCAGGACTTGAGAGCTAGCTGAGTGTCTTATGGGCTTCACCCCAGGTCGAGAGAGGACCCTACACCCTATAGTCCCCATACTTTTTCCTTCCCCGACGCAAAGTGACCACGTTTGATGAAGCATTGCTTGCTACCCTAACCCACTCCCGAGGCAAAGCGACTATGTACGATGAGGCATTGCTTCTGGAGTCGCTTGGGCAGCAAGGTCTTGTCCACCAGCGGGGAAGAAGATTCGAAACTCAGACACCCAAATCGGACGCCCTGAAGCCTTAAACCTGCCTAGTTGTCCCGGAAACCTTGTACGTAGATGAGGTCTGGCTTTTTTTCGTTACTGGCGTTTCGTGTTTGTCGCTTGTCTGCTCGCCAGTTGGCTATCATCCTGTTGTTCGATGTCGCTTCGGTCGTCGTTTATTCATCGCTTTGTGGTAGGGACCGACCAACGGTAATTACCGCAGTCTCCACACTTTTTCCCATCCGTATCTGAGGGCAGCCTCCGGAAACGCCATCGGCCCCCTCCACGAAAGGTTCAAGAGGGCTGCATGACAACATTGCAGCCAAGCAATTGGAAACTACCCAGAGGGGTTTAAGATTTAGGGTGTGCTCTGTTTGTTGATGTCTCTCATCTTGGCTTCCCTCCTCGCATGTCTCGGCTCTCGCCTGAAACTACATCCTGAAACCCGAAAATCCTAAGCCCTAAACCCCTAAACCCTAAACCCTAAACCCCTAAAACCCCTAAACCCTAAGCCCTGAAACCCTAAACCGGCATTTTGCTTCAAGGCTCCAGGGCGAGCCGGACTATGACGTCAGCGGTCCGCAGGACGACGAAGTCTCAGCATGGTACCTCGAAATGGGTTTAGGGTTTAGGGTTTAGGGTTTTAGGGTTTAGGGTTTAGGGTTTAGGGTTTAGGGTCCTGAGTTTGACGTTAAAGGTAGGTTCGTGGGTCTTCTGGAGCTTTAGCGACGACTTGTACGGGAGCCGACATGCTTAGGGCGGGTTTTGGTGTTTAGTTGGTTGTGGTGTTTGGGTTTACGGATGTTTAGGCTTCTGAGCTTTTTCGTGCCTGTTTGGTTGAGCTGGGGCCAGCTCGTCCCTCCCACTTAGCTTCCTCAGCGGGGTAGAGGCCGGGCATCTCGCAAAACCAGTCATGCGACTCCTCAAGATTCTTAGCTACAAGTGTTCCCGAAAGCCTACAGCCGGCTTACCAGATCGTGAAGCGACGACTCCTGAAGAGTATGAGGCCTTCTCGAAATAGTCCAAGACCGCTAAGTCTATGTCCCGTTCTTCACAGAAGGTCCTGATTATTCCACCGCACTTCTGTTCGTTCCACGTGCCCTTAAACCGGAAATCCCAAAACTGTCAGCTCATGCTTGCACCAATAAACGAGTAAGTGCAAGCTCCATACGATAGGCCGATGTCGGTGAGTAATCCGAAGCGTGCCCTCAACCATAGTTCTGGGTTTGTTGTGTTTCCGAGTAGCTTTGCCCCGGCCCAGGTATGTCATTCGGGTGCACCTTGGCGGCAGCCGCTGTGGTCTTGGGGTGTTGACCCCCATAGGCCCAAACGGTGCTGGGGCCTTGCTGTTCGTTTCGGGCGAATTCATTCGGTGTTTCGGAAACTCGGTCGGAGGAGCAAGTAAAGGCGGGAAGACAAAACGTCAAGCATCTCTGCACAAGCTTATCCCTCGAACGTTCAACTACCTCAATGTCTGAATTTCTATGGTGTTGATATGTGTGTGCCCAGGGGCACATACATGATGCAGGTATAACCCATCTCAGCTCAACAGGAGTAGGACTTCTCTGGGTGCGGAGGTGTGCAGCACGGAGTGGGACCAACATAGAGGTCGTGAGACTTACCGATACTATATTCTTATAGCCCCATGGAAACCCGGAAACCTACAGTGTCCTCACATAGTCTTCATTAAGTAATGTAGTTGTACCATTGTATTCGTTAAAGTCCTTTCATAATAATTACGTGCTCGCACAGGGCTGCTATGCCGATCCGTTCCCCCCTGCCCTTACCAAGCATCATTTCTGATGGGCAAGATCCTCCATGCCGTTTAGTTTCCGATAAAGGCACGAGTCTTGTGGTGCAATCCTTGTTATTCCGAGTGGCCTTAAGCCCCCCAAACCGCTAGAAACCTGTGCACAGCCCACTTTGCGTCCTTCGTGCTTCTCGCTTAAAGACTCCTTGGGTCCATGCCAGGACGCCAAGACCTCAAACCCTTCAAGCCCTAAACACTGAACCTTCATGCCCCGAAGCCTTTAATATAGAGGCCTCAATAATTACCTAGACTAGTTAGGGGGTTCCTCATTATATCGATCTATAGTACAATATACCCCAAAGCCCTATTCTGATTACTACGGCCCCTATATTAAATCTCAAGCGTTACTAGGTCCCCCATGCTCCTGGCCCCTACTGCGCCCCAAAACCTTTAGATCTCCAAGCTCCTGCGCTCCGAAAGCCCGAAACGTTCAATCCCCAAGCTCCTCAAAACCGAAACCGGAAACCTTTGAGAATCCCCTTAACCCTAAACCCTAAACTTAACCAACCCTAAACCCTATAACCCCTAAACCCGAAACCCAAGGCCGGAAACCGCGTAACATGAATCCTAGGCCTGTGCATCCGGTCGACGGCGCTGTGAAGCTGTCCCAAAAGCTGTGGTCTGCCTGCAGCTCTTTGAGGGTTTAGCAGGGTTGCTGTTTCCCTTAGAGACGCTGTGGTGGCCTGTGTTTCGCTTTGTGCGTTGCTATGTTTCGGGATGTATCGAATCAGACCAAAAACCACGGGCCGCCAAGGCGTCCCACTCTCTCTACTTTTTGGGGTTCCTTTCAGGGTTACCGTAACAGTTGTTGTGTGGGCTTCCGGGTTTAGAGCTTCAAGGGCTCAAGAATGGAATTTAAGGTCCTGCGCTTTGCATGTAGAGTTCAGGTTTGGGCGGTCTGGGGTGCGGGTTCACCGAGTCCTCCTCTGGCTTGGTTCTTGGAGCTCTTTGCCAGGAAAGTCCTTTGTATCAAATTATTTATTATTTAGTCTGGTGACTGGAAACTTCGCTCCGTAACACGAGCTAAGGCGATTGTTTGTTTAGTTGAGGGGGTTGGTGGTGTTTGGGGTTTGTCTCTTCGACGGCATAGTTTCCTGCGGCACCAGAGGGAGTTATGGCCTACTTGGTGTCCCCCTGATCCTTCAAGTCAGCCACCAGCAAACCCAGTACGACACCTGTCCGAGGAACAATCTGGACCTTACCCTGGCAGCCACTTGGATCGAAGTCGTTGGAGACCCACGGTTTAGGGCTTTAGACTGGCAGGTTGTTGATTGTGTTGATTTTAGGCTGAGCAAGGGAGTTCGAACCGTAGGTTGTAGGTAGCTGAACGTCCAAGAACCAGGAGAATCGACCCCTGTGAACGCAGGGATCCAAAGGCCTGCTATCCGTGAAATGCCGCAGAAACTCTACCTGAGGCCCGAAGACCCTGAATGCCGAGACCCCTCAAACGCACAATGTCACAATAATCGATGATCACAAGAAGAAAGGCAGCCGGCATCAGTCTGAAGATAATGGCATCGCTGCGGAGAGGATACAAGCAGTGACAGTAGAGTCACCTCTTAGACCTCAAGCCCTCATGCTCTCAGCCCGAAGCCCCAAAATCCAAGCCCCTGCAACCCTAAGCCCTGAACCCCAAGCCCGAAACCCCAAGCCCGACAACACTGGAAACGTCTGTCTGGGGCAAGCTTCCTTGCTTGGAACCCCTTAAAGGATCCAACCCTCCCTCCTTCCCCCTCCCGCACAAAGCAGCCCTTAATGGCTAAGCAAAAAATATCATGAAGCAAAATGACTAGAATCCAATTGAAGCCAACAACAAGCGACACAAAGGCCCTAATTTGTAAAACCTTAGCACCATGTGACAACGGCAGAATTCCCACAACCTAAACACTTACGTATTATTTCAGAACCTTGCTTGATAAGCTTCGTAAGGGCCCCACGGTGACATGGGCTACTGACTCTTCAGGAGCTGAAGCTGCAGGATCTTTTGATGGATCAGGCGCTGACTTGCTCTTCGGTGTGTGAGCGTGCGCGGGTGTGTGCGGGTGCGTGTTTTTTGTTTGTTGGTCGGGTTTAGGGTTTTAGGGTTTAGGGTGTAGGGTTTAGGGTTTAGGGTTTAGGGTTTAGGGTTTAGGGTTTAGGGTTTAGGGTTTAGTTTTTTAGGAGTCTTGGGGTGTGTGTTGTTGTGGGGACTTCGGACTTATGGGGGTTAGGGCTCACAGCTTTTAGGGCTGCAGTGTTGTTTTGGATTCAAAGGTAGTTTAAGGCTCTAGGGATCTAGGGCTTGGGCGCTGTGGATGGGCAACCCTTAACGAGAACGCCATGGAGAACTAAACCCAAAGTCGCTGAAGCCTAGGAAGCCCAGTCTAAGCTTTAATTCGAAACCCTGTGCCCTACACCCGCAACCCGAAGCCCTAAAGCATAAACGCTTATAGAGCGCTTAACGGGACCATTCCGGAACCCGAAGAAGCTGTCAATCGCTGGAGGGCATCAGCGAAGGGGTGAAGATCTCCACACTCTCAGCCGAGAGTGGTTCGGCAGTTTCCCCGCCCCCTGGAGACGTTTGGTTTGCGCGAATTGGGATGAGGGCTAGAGGGTTTAGTTAGGGTTTAGGATGTAGGATAGCATGGGGTTCGGGGTTGTTTGGAGCCGGACTCGTGGTTTTCATGACTTCCATGTTTTGTCCAGGGCTTGTCCTGGGCAAATCTGGCACAGTCAGATGCGGTGGCAGTGCCTGGTTGATGTTCAGGAATTCCACAAGGGTCCTGTAAAGGGTTCTATCATGGGGTTAGGATTTGGCTCAGGCAGGGGTAGGATGCATTGCAGCTCCAGATGTTTGGATGGGCCGCAGTTCGTTTGACAAGTATTCGCCCTTGATGCAGGGACCGCAGTAGCCTGTTAGCACAGCTCTAAACCCTAAACCCAAAACCCTAAATCCTAAACCCAAAACCCAAAACCCAAAACCCTAAACCCTAAACCCTAAAAGCTCTACAAAGCCATCTATAGAAATCTGAGGCTCAAACCTCAGGCCGAACTCGAGGGAGAGGAAGATCTGCCGAAAGCCACAGGCGGAGTTAGCTCGTTAAGACTTCCTTATAAGGTGTCTTTAAGGTTTCTTTAAGGTTTCCTTAAGATTTCTTCAAGGTTTCTTTAAGGACTCTGTAGAGAGGGTCGTTAAGATGTCCTTCAGATGTCTTTAAGGTTTCTTGAAGGTCTCTGTAGAGAGGGTGTTTGTGTTGCTTTTCGTGGGGAAGGAGGGGTGGCCGGGCTCTGTTAGGGAGGCTTGGGTCTTAGCTTTGTCTTGGGTCCAGAATAAGGATGGTCTTTTGGACCCTAAGTCCACAATAGTAGTACATATGGAGCCTCTGGGAACTAAACACTCGAAGTTTGAGGGTATTGTGGCGGTCTGGGGGTTCCAGGGTATCCGGCTTAGGGTCCCGCAGGCTTGCAAGCCTTTCAGGGCTTGTAGGTTACTTGCAGAGTCCGGGGCAACGGAGATTTTGGATGCTGTGAAGGAGTGGGGCTTCAGATCCCGGACTACGAAGCCCAGCCTCTGAAGGGGCTTCAAACAGATAATTTCAGAAGAAGGGAGCAAACCGCTCGAGAGAGACTAGAGAATTTCGGAACAAGAGACTAGAAAAATTGAAATCAAGGAGCAAACCGCTCGACAGGAACTAGAGAATTCAGAAGAAGGAAGCAAACCGCTCCAAAGAGTGTAGAGAACTGCGACAGGAACTAGAGACCTTGAAAAC